GGCAGAAAGCAAATGTGAATGCGATTGCATTAAGTTTTAAATACGCGAATTCATCTATTGGTCGGCTAATAAAATCATAAAATGTATTTGAGGTCAGCCAACCGAACAATTTCGATTTTAATTGAAAAGAGTTTTTGGCACGGCTCGCCCTGTTGTCGCTGTCAATTCCCCCCGGGAAAATCATAGCCCTCATTTTGGGTGCACCCAGTGTTGCTTATATCCGGCGTGCGGCCCGTTTCCGGTTGCCATTTGGCGCTGCTGCTAATTTCACAGTTTTGGCATTTCGGATACGGAAAAGGGGGCCAAAACGGTTGGCCCACAAACAATTAACTCCCACCCACTCGATCCAAAAGCGAAAGCTCTGCAATTCTGTGGTTAAGTATCATTTCTAATATTTTGTGTGACACCCGTGCGACACTTTGGCATTTTGGGGTGTGCGTTTTGGGTTTTTAGCCAGGCTGCCAGCCACATTGTTTATGGCTCACTCAAGAGTTTCAGCCAAAAGCCAACAGCCAACCCCAGCAACATTTGAACAAAACCTGGCGCCAACGCCAACGCCAACGCCACCGCCACCGCCAAATACAAAAACAAAAATAAGGACAAAAACAAAAACAAACGGAGGAGCAAAACCCAACCACTGGGGGCAAAAAGTTTTTAAGTGAAAATAGTCATTCAAATTTAATTAGTCCAAAACAAAGCCAAAACGTAATGAGCTTACGCTTAGGCTAGCAGAGTAGAAAAGGAATGGGTGCGGGGAATGGGGATGGGGATCGGGATCGGGATGGGGATGGCTCCATCTCAATCTGAAATTGTGGTTATTGCACTCAGCCCCACTCATTGTCCTTCTACGAGTTCCGAAAAGGGTGCCATCCTCCAACTAAAGGGGTCATGTGCGACACAATTACGGCAAAGGTGGAGCCGGAGTCAGTAGCGTTTTGCTGTCACATGCCACATGGCCGCAGAAACTCCCTCGGCCACGCCCCACCTCCCTTCGAACGCCCACGTATCAGCCCACGTAACACCCACACACACACACACACACACACACACACACACACACACACACACACCCACAGCCACAGACTCACACACAACCAAAAACAGCGAAACTGAGAGCAGGTCGACTACGGCAGCAGTTTCAAAATATTTTACGTAATATCATTGTTCGCACTCGTAACTAACTTTTGCCAGCGCTCCGTGCAGGCACAAAGGATACATCTCCACCTATGGCTTCAACCAGACCCTCTCCGAAGTATTCGTACCCAAATCCCAGTCCAACCCAATCCCCATTCCCCAACCCCCGATTCCCGATCCACGCGTCACCCAACTCAGTCCTTCTAATACTTGCCAACTGTTTAGCGTGTGACGAAACTTGCATGCTGCGAGGGACCTTTTATAAGTTTCTTGGTCGCAACTATATTAAACTATTTAGAAATATTAATTCTTATCTGAATCCATTTACATTTATCTGAACAATATACAAATATATATATAACAAATATTTGTTATTCAGCTGAGAGCATTGCCCTTTTTGGTGAACGCATTTCAAAAATAAAATTCAAATTTATAAATAAAATCATATAAAATAAAGTATTCTCACATTATCATCCTTACGATTTTATATGAAACAAGAAAGGAAAGCTAACTTCGGGCGGAGCCGAAGTTGAAATACCCTTGCAGAATATTCTGCAAATTATATTCTTTAAAACTATTCATATGATGCATTCTTAATACTCATAAAAAAATCCCAGCTTCCTAACTTTAAAAACACCAAGGTTATGGCATTTCCAATCGTTCAGTTATATGGCAGTTACAGGATATAGTCGGCCGATCTATATGAAATTTGGTAGGTCGGATTAATTGGCCAAAAATAAAACCCATAGGAAATCCCAACTTTCTAACTTTACAAACACCAAAGTTATTTCATTTCCGATCAATCAGTTATATGGCAGCTATAGGATATAGTCGGCCGATCCTTATGAAATTTGATATGTCGGATTGATTGGGCAAAAATAAAACCCATAGAGAATCCCAACTTTCTAACTTAAGAAACACCAAAGTTATGGCATTTCCGATCAATCAGTTATATAGCAGCTATAGGATATAGTCGGCCGATCCTTATGAAATTTTGTACGTCGGATTGATTGGCCAAATATAAAACCCATAGAAAGTCCCAACTTCCTAACTTAACAAACAGCAGAGTTATGGCATTTCCGATCAATCAGTTATATGGCAGCTATAGGATATAGTCGGCCGATCCCGGCCGTTCCGACTTATATACTGCGTGCAAAGGAAAGAAGGGTGTGTGCAAAGTTTCAATTCGATATCTTTAAAACTGAGAGACTAGTTCGCGTAGAAACAGACAGACGGACAGACAGACGGACAGAAAGACGGACAGACGGACAGACGGACAGACGGACAGACGGACATGGCTATATCAACTCAGGAGGTGATCCTGATCAAGAATATATATACTTTATAGGGTCGGAGATGTCTCCTTCACTGCGTTGCACACTTTTGACCAAAATTATAATACCCTCTGCAAGGGTATAATAAAAAGCATTAATTTTCCCCTATAAATATGGAAAATCATTTGCTTAAATAAGTGTATTAAAAAAACGAAAAATGTTTCATTATTAAATCCTCTGTAATTATGGACTTATTTGTGATTCTGTTCATAAAATAAAGACAAATGAGGCAAATTTAAAGCTTGTCAGGCCCATTATCACATGTGCCAGCAAATGTATAATTATGGAATATTTACTTCAGATATTTAAAATTTTTGTTTATCAGAAATAAAGAAAAACACTGCCTTTTGCAAGCTTTTTTGGGTATATAATTATAGATTACCTGCTGAAATGGGCTCGTTTTATGTATTTCATTTGGCCTTCTGGTGAAACCAGTTCTTCTGGGCTATCAATTTCTGCTGGGTCGGCCCCCGCAGATGGTTATCCACATGCCCGTGTGCAACCAAGTCGCATTGCATGGGAGGACGCTCCACCGGATCGGGTGGCTATATGTGTGTGTGTGGGAAGAGGAAGAGGATAAATGGTGTGTATCCTGCGAGGGGACCTGGTCTGGGCTTGGTCTGCGTTTTCGGCGATGCGGCATATGATTCGTATCGCTGATACTATTTCTGGTCCAATGGCACAGTTAGTTTGCATCCTACGTGCCTGCTAATGTATGCTGGCTACCTTTCTACGTGTCCGTGCTCCAGGACCTTACTATATAGTGGGTGTCGGTTGTCAGGGTGTGTGTGTGCGGCACATCCGTGTTAATATAAACGCATAATAGCATTTTTAGCTGTGAAATAGTTTTGCTGTTGCTGCTCTGAGAGACCCCCCAAAAAACCCACCTCATCCCGGAGTCCTGCCATTGTCCTGTACTCTCTACCTTCCTGTAGGTGTAATTGTGGCCGTTGCCGGTTGCCGGTTTTCATTGTCGACCATGTGGTAGTTGTTTTTGTCGGGCTTATGAGAGTTGGGGGGGCGGTGGTTTTCTCTAAATTAATACATCACATGCACGCAAAAAGGACGACGTCGAGGACAACGAGAACGACGAGGACATGCATACAAGCTTAATTATGGAATTTAGCCGGGCTTGTCTTCTTGGTGCGGTTTTCAGTTTGGTTTCGGTTTTTCGGTCTGACCATCTAACTATCATATTTTGGGTCGCGTATAATTGGGATACATGCAGATCTACCCGTAAATATTTTAATTTACTAAGGTGAAAGAAGGATACGGATGTCAGCTGCTACCCAACACCCGACTCGATGGCTTTTGAAAACATTTCACGTGGCAATTTTTAATGGCATTTGTTGGCCTTTGGGTGCGCTGATGCACACTGATGGAAATTGTAATAGACAGGTGACGGGGATCACAGAGGAGGGCTCACCAGAGCCTGGAAAATCGGGATCGGGATGGGAATCGGGGAATGGGGGAATTGTGGAACCGGGGAACCGGGAAAACGTGCCAGTACTTCGTTAACGGATTCTCGGAGCTGTCATTACCATTAACATTTTGGCTTGGGCAAACATTTTAGAGTCGCACTCTCGAACTCATTTGCACTTTTGTTTGCATTGGATTTGGACACTGTCAGCGCCGGCGGCCGAAACCATTGACAAGACCACATTTGGGTATTTTCGTGTCGCTTCAGTTATTTGATTAGTTAACATGTGGACGGAATGGAAGGGTTTAGGTGTTTGCACTGCGTCACTCTGTTCACTTTTCACGCTTCAACGGAAAAACTAAATGGGGAAAGTTTAATGCAGTAATTGATTGACATTATTTGCTTGCTTTTACCAATGCCATTACGGGGGGAAATGTATCAAGGCCTCACATTTGTATGGTAATTTATTACTTTGTAACAAGCACCAATTAGTTTTTAGATTTTAATATTTTTGGGCAAATTAAACCACGAAATTAATTAATTTTTAGTGAATTAAGCCACAATCGTTCAGAAGAAAGCCACTTTGAAATTGGATTTCTGTAAGAAAAGTTATTGGCTTAGAAGTGAAGTTTTTCGACACTTTTCTCCAAAGCCATTTTTCGAAAATTTGGAATTTGTTACCTTAGAAAAACGACGAAAAATCGACCTAAAAGTGTAAATGAAGATTTAAACACAGATTTTTGGAGAATCTAAACACAATTATTTAGAAATATACCACTTTGAGTGGCAGTTTTGGGCACCTTTATGAAAAATACATTTTCAAAAATATGCCGAAAAATGGAACAACTAATTCAAACCAAGATTGAAATGCAGAGTTTTGGTGTGTCAAAATACAATTATTTAGAAATATGCCACTATCAAATCGAATTTGTGTGAGAATATTTATGGTCAGATTTTAATCTATTTTTGGTGAAGCCAGATTTATATAAAAATAAAACCGTGTAGGTTATAAACACAACACTCTTTATACCTGTTAAGCTTAAAAGACAAAAAACATGATTATTTTCCTTTTATGTCAAAATCTGTGTAAAAGGATATTATTTGTAAATAAAATGTGCAAGAATCGGGATTTATTAAGACGACTGAACTGTTGTACTAAATATATGGCTTGTATTTTCTGGGCAGGCCTTAATATAGTCATTGGATTCATTTTCATTCGTAAGTATATCTGAAAGAAAATAAAAATACCTTGAACTGGAATTTACTAATAACTTGTCATTATAAGTAAAATCGGATTGCTTTAATGTGAAACATTCGAGAAATATTAGTTAATAATCCAGCAACATAAAAGTAGCTTATAAATATTCCATGTTTTCCAGTATATGGTATTATTAATTTGTATTTAAATTGAAATATAATTTGTCCTAGCATTTATTATGGAGTTCGCAAGGAAACAAAACCTGCCAATCGCAGTTCTCGTAATTGGTTGTATTTGTGGAGCCAACTTTATTTTATCTGGTTCTTTGCTTTTAATTGGAGTTTTGAAGGTTATTTTCATTTGTTTTATCTTTTTGAAATCTATGACATCCTTATTTTTAACAGGGTGTGCGCTGTCTGGTTTGCTCATCTATAATTTTCAGCGGCATAGGCGTATTCTTTATTCACTGGTTAATCATCCCTTTGAGTAAGTTATTTTCATATTTATTTATACATAAAATGTAACATTTTTGTTTCTCCTTTAAGTGCTTTATTTAGTTTTCTCTTTTGTTGTGTTTAGCTATTATCAAGTGGACATGTCTCCTGATGATCGCTATCGAGTACCGAGACGATTTTCATAATAAAATAAAATTTTATTTTATGATTTTACTATGAGTTTATGTTATTCTTTTATGTGAACTTTAGCGAAACAATACATAGTTTCCTACTTCTCGCTTTTATTTTCAGAGTTCTTAAGTCCGCAAGCAGGAAAATCGCCGCTTCACCTACTCGAATTTATGATAAGTACTGGATCAGTTGGTATTAGCGGAGCTTTGGCCTGAATTGCAATCGCCTCCTGCCCGCTTAAGGAACTATTTATTTCGAGTGCGGCCACCTTAGCCCAAAAGTATCTTTGTATCGCCGGCTGTGCAATCTACTCCAAATACTCGTAACTGCAATAGTTTTATGACTCATCATGGATTTTTTTTTTGACGGGAAATCCCCTGACGATAGCGAGTTCAATGCTCTACTTATTTTTTTTTTTTTTTTTGTGGGGTTGGCGGTAGGGTCGAAAAATACAAAAAAAAAAAAAAGGCAAAATGGGCTCAGCTTATTTGTTGTTTTATGCCAACTGCTCAATTTGCTGTTACACTGGCCGGACCGAAAACACAGACAACACCAGTTCATCACTTACACGCCAGGGTAATTTAAAACAAATGCCCCACCAAATCGCATTTGGCTTTGGCTCTACAAGTTTTTATTGCCGCTCGCATATGAAGCGGCAAATTTGTTCATCCACTACAATTTGGCATGCCATTTATATTGGTTCCATGTTAATGCCAGCGCCAAATCCCCGACCTGAATTAAAAGCGCCACTCGATTCCAGGCACCATATAGTCATCCGGTTGAACTAGTTGTTCCTGCAGTTGTTGATGCAGCTGTTGTATTTTTTAATAGACACATTAAAAAATAATTTAACAGACAGAGAGTCACACAAGCCGCTTCGTTTTCATCGTTTTGGCCTCTGCATTGAATAAATCATAAATCATTCAACTTTCGGCCAGAGCTGTGAAATAAAAATGCCCCGAAAACATGTGACGTGTATATCGCGGTGGGTCGGCAGTTTCTATTAAACGATACACGATGAGCAGCCAGGCAATTTGTCCAATTTATCCCATTTTCCATCACACCACCACACTTTCACACCGCTTTTCGTTGTTTTTTTTTTTTTTTTTGTTGCCGCGTGTGTGTTTACTTTTTACACATCATAATTTTTTATGCTAGTTGACTTCTGGACACTGCCGCGTCCTGTTTTTCCTTTCGCCCTTTTTTTTTCCGCACAGCGCCGAAAAGTTGTTGCCATGTACAAATTAATAAACGAGTAACTGACAAAAAGGTAATTTATTATTTTATACATATTTGACAAATTAATTTAATGACACAGCGCCGTCTCACACTCGCACATTAACGCACATGTCCCACCGGGCAGGCAGGATGCCCATACCCTGTCCGGATGCCTCGCTCCTTCGTCCCGCTGCCACACATAATAATTTCTCATTTAATTTTTCAATTTTAAGCGTCATTTACACATGCCATGCCGTCGCAGTGAAGCTCTGTCCAGATCCCCGATGCCGCCATTCCCCTTCGGGCCTCTCTGCGTTTCTTGTATTATTTTTTGTCTTTTTTTGCTTTTATTTTTTGTTTTTTTTTTCAGCTTGTCGGACGGTTGCCTTTGTTTTTGCTCCTGCCATCGCTTTTGATTATACCCTACGCTTTACGGGGCGTGTCCGACCAAAGCAAGCGGCTTGCACTTGTCAATCAAATCAAAAAGGATGGTTCAAACAATCATTGATCAAACATTCATGATCCAAATATGGTGATTAAATTGTCATGTTGGTTTGATGGTAAACATATTTATCTAAAAACAAGAGGTTGATATCGCTTAAGGACAATACTTATTTATTCTAACGCCTGCCAATTAATGTTTTTTGAAAAAGCTTTTCTTAATTCAAGCTTTATTGTTTCATGAAAGTTACAATTAATATATTATTAAGTACCATCAATTAAATTATGAAATTCTTTGCTTATACTCTTTAAATTTTTGGTCATTTGTTTTTTTGCAGATCTTTTTTTAAACGTCTGGCAAAGTTAAACAATCTTCTAAAGACATAATAACATTTCATAAAATATGAATGAGCTAAATATGCATAAATGCTAATTTCCTTATATTGTTAAGTGTATTTTTGCATCGACTCACTTCCATCTGATCGCTTTATGTTGTTCTTTCATTTTTTTATATTTGCATTAAAAGGTAATCATCGGGAGCGGCGTTGTTGGTAAGCCTTGCAATTTTCGCACCGTTGTCGTATTTTGTATGACTGTCATTAAGTCGTCAGCGGGTTCAGTAACGAGAAGGACAATGTCGACGGGGGAGGGGGAGGGGGTCGAAGGAGGCTGCAGACTGCAGACTGCAGACAGCAGACTGCAGAGTGGCAGGACGCAATCAGTTGCTCACTCAGTTGGCGACGCATCAGTTTAAATGACTCGTCATGCCCGCTGGTGATGGTGTGAATGTGAAGATGGCAGTGTGGGGGAGGGGGGAGTGAGGAGGGGTAAGAGGGGGAGAGGTGTCAGGTCGAAGTGGTGGCCAGTATTGCCCCAAGGACGCCGACAGATACTGCTCGCGGTGCACTCGAATCGGTCTGGAGAGCTCGCAACGTTAATGACACTAGAATCAGTTTTCATTAACGATATAACGTGCGACCGGCCACTCGGAAGTGGAGTAAAAAGTGGGTAAAAACTGGGGAAATGTCGGCGAAAGAGGGGGGGAAGCAGAGGGGAAACTGAGGGAACCGCATGCGTGCATTGCTCGCATATTTCTCTTGGCCGCGGCTGCTGTGGCGACTGCGGCATTGGCGCTGGCAATTAATAAAACACACACCTTCTGTGCGGCCGAAACTCTCTACTCTACTCCACTCGAACCCCCCCAACACACACACACTTTTGCACAGTGGTCTAAAGCGCTTATTTATGCAACGGCTGGCCTCGACATCACATCGACATGGCCATCGGCATCTGAATCTGGCCATGCATCTGCATCTGCAACTGCAACTGCAACGGCAACGGCAACGGCATTGGCGACTCTGGAAATTGAATTTAAAAAGCTCAAACGCTGCAAAATATTTCACACGCACACACTGGAAGTGTGTGTGTGTGTGTGTTGTTGCTGAGATTTTTCGTATAAATCACATTTTGCCAGCGAAAAATATAAATAAAATATGTATGTGTGTTGGTGCTTGTGCGTCTGTGTGTCGCCTGCATAAATCTTTCAGTTTGGATTTTCACTTTGGCGGCATAAATTGACACTGGCTGACGACATCGCAGCCACATTTGAAAACCGCGCTTAAAAGCATGCTCGCTCGATCGCTTGCCCCCTCAAAAAACTCTTGCATTGCAAATTGCGTTTTTTGTCAGCTTAAATAAAGCAACGCGCGCTGACAGTAAAAACTCATTTACGCGAAATTAAATTAAAAGTTAATTAACGCTGTCAATGTGCAAAGCACTCCAGCCAGACTCTTTTTTCCCCTCTTCCTTTTCCCCTGGTTGAAAAGAGTAGGATGGGGATTCAGGTAACTGACTACCTGCAAACTGCAACTCTGCGGGCCAAGTTGAAAAATCACCGCAAGTAAAGTTAAGCATATGTCCGCTTAAATTGATGCGAACTGGTTTTAAACGCCAGCCTGACAATTCGCGAGTTTTTTTTTTCACTCGCTTTTGCTGCTTTTGCTTTTGCTGTTGCAGACTGGCAAGTTGTTTGCTGGACTCTGGAATTGGTTTGTCGGCTGCCTGGGAGGGATTTGTGCGGAGGATGCGGGGCTTTAGTGGCAGTTCGCTTGATTGCTTGGCTGGCCGGCAGTTATGCGCTGCGCACACAGTGCGTATGCTTAATGTGACATGACCGAGCCGTCCATCCGTCGGGCAGGCTGGTTGGTTGGATGGCTGGCAAAATCAACAAGCCGATCCCAGCCGACTGATAATTAATTTTTAAGTAAAACTGAAATTTACACCGGCCAATCAGCGATAAACCGACAAAGAAAAAGGAAACTGCTTAATTGGTCCCCTGTATGGTGATTATTATTGATCAGCATCATATTAGTATTGGTTTAATTAAATACTTATTTTCTGCTTAATAAATATATCTGCGATGATAAGTGGTTTAAATCCAATTTTGTAAGTGAACTGATTAAGTTTTCCATTATTTTTTTTGTTTTTAATGGTTTTGATTTATTATTTCGGTTTCAGATTTTATTAAAATTGAATTTAAAGGTCTTATCCAAAGACAGTGTAACGAATAAGCATAAAAAACATTTGTAGAGGCATATAAACTTGGACGTCCTGTTAGTGAAAAGCTCAAGTAAGAAAACTTATATTTTCTTTAATTTTTTTGCAGGTTCCTTTTAATTGACATCGTCTCTGAGTGTTCCCTTCCATTAGTCAGCTCCAACTTGATCTTCTGCCTGCAGAGGACACGAAGGACCTCCCAATTTCTCCCATGGCACGGCGACTGAAGTGCCTCGGCCGCCCTCTTCCTTCATGACAGTTCGCATTGGGGTCGAGCGGCGTGGCAATATAAATAAATATGCTTGTTGTCTGGCAATTCGAACTGCACTCCCACGGCCAATTTCGTTGTGAAAAATTAAAGATAACATAAATGCGGCTCGCCGGGGCACGCTACAAATTCCGGACGGAGCTAGGCCCGAAAAGCGGAAAAGCGGCGGAATGCCGTGCCAGGACATCAATGTCGTGGCTCTGGCGTGCTATTTGAATTGAACAAGTGTCAGCGTCGAGGGGAAACAGCGTCGAAGCTGTCGCTCCATGGAACCCCTCTATATATGTGTATATATGGGGCCCCGGCGACCGAACTCTGACCCCCGACAGCATTTGCATGTCCTGCCAGTCCGCTCTCAAAACTCAAAGTATTAACACTTTAACGCCAAGTTTTTTATCCGGCTGCCGGAAACAGACAACACAGCGCACATAAACACAGCGCCAAACACAAATACTAGTGCAGCTAGTGAGCTCTCGGCGTCGGCGGCAAAACGCCATGTTGGATTATTCAACTCGACGCCATTTCGCGTCACAATGCGCGCTATGCGCCGCCATCATTGCAACCGACAGCGAACGGCACACGGCAGCGGCAACAACAACAACAACAGCAACAGCAACAGGAACAGGAATAGTAGCAACAACTGCAGCAACAGCTAAAGGCAACGCTGGCCCACACGGCGGATGAAGTTGCAATTCAAAGTCATAAACACGTGGAGCGTGGGCGCAAAGTCTCAGCTAAGCCGCGAAGAAAGACGGGGGAAAGCGGGAAAAGCCGGGAAAGCGGATGAGGGAAGAGCGGGAAAGGCAACGGCAGCGGTAGCGCCACTTCCTGCCCCGAGAATCCTAGCCCGGCCCCTTTTATTTCCAGACCATTTTGTTGTCTATGCTACACGGCAGTCAGAGGGTATCAAAAGCATATTAAATCCACTCCATTTGGCAGCCAAACTGCAATTGAGAATAGTGCCATTCAATTCGATAGCTGAATGCAAAGAAAAACTCCAAGTGCATTACTTATTTGCTATCTTTTCTCATAAAAAGATACTATTTATATAGATTTAAGTAAAATATTTAAGACAATTTTGTTTTTATTAATAGGTTACGTATATACTTTAAATGGGGAATAGTCACTTTAAATATTAATTTTGCTTGACAATACTTCAGAGAATTGAAATATAATAAAATTATCTTTTAAATAAAAACTTTTAAGACTATATATTCTAAATTTGTTTTGTCCAATTTGCATAATTTTTTCAAAGTGCGTTAGCTTTATCATGATTGATAAATGCGATGGTTCAAAAAGGATAAACATTTGATTGTTTGCCATGAAAACATTGAGATAAAAAAATGTTACCGATATCGTTGTGCCATTTTCCGGGAAATGGTTTTTTATCGAATTAGATAGTGTTGATCGCGATATCGGGTAACGCAATGGTCGAGCCTTTCGATGGCCAACGAATTGTGACTGTTATTTTTCGGTTGGCACTGTTCGTTTTTCATTTGCATGCGAAATTCAAACATCAGCATAAAAATGCAATTTTTATTGCGCAACATTTCTCAATGCCCGCTGCAAATATTTTCGCGGGCTTTATTATATTTTTTTGCCACTGCCACCGCCATCGCCTTTGTATTGTTTTGTTTTGGCCCTCCTGTTCCTGCTGTTCCTGCTGTTCGGTCTTGCCATTGTTGTTTGTTTTGGTTCGGCTTGTTGCTGCTGCTGCTCCCGTTGGCTGCTGCTCATATTTATTTGTGCTTTTTATGTGGACCACCCACCCACGGCTTTATTATGAGCTGCACTTTATGAAAATGCAGTTGCCAGCCCGCTGTCGCAGTAGCAGTCGCTGTTGTTGCCGCCGCCGCCGCCGCGTTTCGAGTACATTGCAAATATTTTATTATTGCACAATTTCGCCAACTTATCCCGCCGGCATATGAATGCGGAGATGTAGGTGTAGGTGTAGGTGTAAGTGTAGGTGTTGGTAGGTAGGGGAATCTCCTGTTGGCCGCAAGGCTGCAGGAAGGATGCAAGCCAGCTAAAATAATATTTCGTTGCTGTTCGTTTGTTTGTTTGTTTGTTTTTGTTTGTCGGTTCGTTTAGTTGAAATTACGTTCTGTATGCCACTGAATTTCATAGCAGCACCGGCGATGCCAACAACAACTTGAGCCGAAAAACTTGCTTTCGGTTGTTATTATTCTTGCGTTTACTCCCGGCAAATTTGCCGTGTGCCGCCTTTCACTCCACGAACTCTGGACTGGCTCTTGTTGTTGCTGTTTTTTGTTGTTGTTGTTGTTGTTGGCATGGACACCGCCTTTCCCTTTTTCCCCACTTAACTGGCACTGTATTCCGTTACACACCACCCCCATGAACCGCCCATGAACCACCCACCGACCACCTCCCCGTGTTTTTGGTTTTTTCTCTTTTCGTGCTGTTTTTCCAACATTTTAACTTCCGCTCAATTTACCTTTAGGCCAAGTAATTTAAAAGCTGACGTGTTTGTACAACTACAATTTCGGCTCATGTTGCCGTTGTTCTTGTTGTTGTTTTTGTTGCTGTTGCTGCTGCTGATGTTGCTGTTGGCATTGCCTGTGTATAGCACTTCCTGGTGTGGATTTTTGCTAGAATCGGCTCTTGTTCTGGTTCTTGGCTCTGGGTATTCGTTTTCGGCTCTTGGATTTCAATCTCCCTCTGCGCTAGTTGTTTTCTTTGCGTTGGACAAAATATTAAAAAAGAAATAATATTGGGCGAGCGATGAAATTTGCTACCGCTTTGGCATATATTTTGTTTATTTGCCCTCCGTTTGACTTGCGCTTGAGGTCGAGTCAAGTTTTTGATGTGGCCGATGGACTAAAAGTCAAAACATCCGCAAAAGCTGTTAAAACTGTTTGCACCGGCTAATAGTCACTGCTGAAAGCTGAAAGCAAGCACTGGGAGGTAAATATTAATTAAAGTCGATAGTAAATGGCCGAAAAGCGTTTCGCCCACGCTGCTGTTTTTCTTTCGCTCCCATTTGTCCTGTTTTGGCACCCCTCATCCGCCCCGTTTAACATGTGAGCACGCAATTTCCTTGATTGGCAACGCAGCCCCAAGTCGGAGGAGCACTACGAGTCGTAGTCAGAGTCGTTGTGGAGCTGAAGCCAAAAGCTGAAGTTGAATGATTGAAAGCGCGCTGCTAAGCTGTCGGCGGCGCTCTGCCAAGGATCTGCATAACGTATCAAAAAGCGTAGCATACTTTTTGGGGCCCGTAGTGCATTAAAGCCGTCGAGTGAGTGTGAGTGTACATGGCGAGAAAACTATTCTGTTCATCACATACATTTTACATATATTTATTTTAAACAATTTTTTTTTGTCCAAGAATTTGACTATACTGGCAATTTAACTATTGTAATATTGTTCGGAATATTTGAGACCTAAGGCCAAGTGGCATGCGGTGACCAGTGTTTCTGTGTCTGAACATTATCTTGCCAATTTATTTAAAAATGTATTTAAAATATCTTAAGGTATGAGGTTATTTATTGATTTTATTAGTCAATTTAATTTTTATATTTTTAATTGTTTTAATTGACTTTTCGCAAAAACAAGAAATTATTGTAATTAAATACATGACTATTACCATTAAAATTGTTGTAAATTTATTTGAAAAATATTGTCTCTATTGAAGTTTAAATATTTAGGCAACAAAAACGAGTTGTACAACGTCAAATAAATATTAAATATGATCCTTGCTCGAGGTTGTGTTGTTTTCCTGCAGTGTGTGTGTGTGAGTGAGCGAGGCTGAGCATGAGCAGTTAACGCCATTGTTTGTGTTAAGCTCGGCCGAATCTGGCAGCCAGGTTAGCCCCAGCACCGCCTTCATAACCCTCCGGACCCCGGCTTTTCCCCCCTTTTCCCCCGTTTTCCCAGCTTTTCCGCCAGTCCACCCCACACCGCCACCCAATCCGCCTGCCTGGCAAGCCAACGAGTCTGTTAGCCAAGCCACAGGCCGGAGCTGAAGCCGAAACTGGAAATGGAGCTAAAGCCGGAGTCGTGGACCACAGGCAGCGCAGTTTGTTCATGCTCCTCGTGCTCCTGCTGCTGCTGCATTTAGTGAAGTATTGTTTCTGCTAGATTAATCCTGTTTTAATTAAATATACACGCTGCCAGCATAAAACCAACAAGAGCCACGACGCCGGCGAGCAAAAAATGGGAATGAAGAACTCTGGCGGCGGCAAAAACTGCAGCTCCACAACCAGTGGCACATCCTGTAGTCCGCCTCCTTCGACTCCTGACGTCATGCAAATGTGTGTGAATGTGTATGTGTATGTGGATATGAATGTGGAAGGGGCCACAGGCTACAGGCTGGTGGATGCAGGATGCAGGATGCTGTTGATGCTGCCGCTCCACTCGGAATGACAAAGTGACTTGACTGACTGGGCGAAATGTTTGAGAAGAGGACGAACGAGAGTGCTGCTTGCTGCTTGCTGCATTCGACCTCGCTTTATTTATTTATATTTTCATCCCTGCCCCTCGTCCCCGATGTTTTACTTCGGCTTTCAAGAAAAATACTTTTTCTCACGCAGCTCGCAGCTAACAGCTCGCTTGTAATTTCTGTAGTAAATTAAAAATGCTGCGGTATTTTTTTTTTTTTTTGAGTGCTCTACACAGAACAGCCCGGCTCGGTTCATCTTGGGGCGGCTTTGTCATGCATGTTCTGCATTCAGCCAAATCCTAAGATCCAGCTCGAGAGCTCCGCAAGTTTTTAAGTTAATGAGCTGAAAGTTCCTTTGCACCAAGCGGCTTCTTCAGGCTGCCACGAGTGCCAGAATCCCAAAATGCCAGAATGCCGGAATGCCAGAGTGGCGGAGTTGGCAACTCAGGGAAGTAAGGCAGATTTTTAAGGGGCATTATATTTTGCACTGCATCTGGTGATGGTGATGAGTCCCGGCCTGAAAGCATTCGGCGCAATTAAGAGGTTGCACATAAAAAAAACCATATAAGATCTGCATTAATTTTTTTCGTGGCATTATCTTAATAAACCTTGGAATACTTAAATGGAATAGGATTAATATAAAACTTAAATTTTTAATCGTAACAAATTTTAATTAAAAGAGGTAGAAAAAACTTATATAAGAATTTTTGAATTTGTCACTGAATGACTTCATTCAAAACACGAACTTAGCCCGGCAAAAAATAAATACTTGTATGTGAAAGTTATGAATTTATTTAAAGGGATTTTAAAATAAACACATTTTGATCTTAAAAGGGATAATTAGGTTTTATAAATAGTACGATATAAAAGTGTCAAATGTTAAAAAATGGTTTTACATTCACTTATCTCTGATAAACAAAAGTATATTAGAATCTCTGGTGATACATTTTTCACCGTGTTTCAGTTTGGCTGGCAGTGAAATGGTGGCATATTACAACATGCTAAATCCACAGCCACTTCAACTGTGCCGTCAACGGGGTCGGGATCGAGATCGAGACCTGGGGTAATACTTATAGTATATCACAACTTATTCGCCGGGATAACCGGTAGCTAATCAGCGTGCCACTCGAGCCGCAACTTCAACTTCGGCGGCAACCTCGAGACGTTATTGAGTTTGTCGTGCTGCCAAAGTGCAGTAGGGTGCTTCACCAGCGGCTGCCGTCAAACAGTCTTAACGTTTGTTGTTTGTTTTTCACCCAGCGCAGTTGTTGTTGTTGTTGCTGTTGTAGCTCACGCTGTGCCGTCATGCAATTTCGCTCCATTAAATACGACGCGTACTTAACTGTATAAGTAAACTTCATTGCCGGAGTGTACCACTGCATAAGTGT